GGAGAGGCAGTAGAGTTGCCTATTAAAACAAAAAATCGAGCTGACTTCGGCTCTGCTCGAGCCTCGAATTTTTGGCACCCATCTTAATTTTACTCGAGTCAAACTCGAGTCTTGTGTCTCGATTCGATTCGTTGACATCCCTCGGGCAGGGTTCATATTTCTCTTCCTTTCTTTCTTTTTTTTCGTTCTTTTTTTTTCTTTTCTTTTTTTCATTCTTTGGGTTCTTTATTTAACTATTTTATTTGAAAAAATGTATATTTATAAATTTAACCTTCATTTAATTGGTCAAAATTTAAAATTTGTTGGTCAACTAACAGATTTGTTCTCCAAGTACACTTGCAATAAAATGTTGGAAAAATTTCATAAGTAAGAATTTAAGTATCAAACATTTTAAAATCAAGAAAATACGTTTCAAATTTCAATAACCGAGTTTTTATTTAAATTTATTTATGATTTAATTAATTAATTATTTTATTAATTAAATATATTTATGTCACGGATTTGTACAATTTCGTCACAAATTAATGATTTAATTAGTCACTTATTATTTTTTGATCACAAAATAGAAATTTTATGTCAAATTATTTTATGATTACAATTCAAAAATTTTTTAGATCATAGTTTTTTTCATTGGTCACAAATTAAAAAATTTATGGTCACTATTTATTTTTTGATCACAAATCATAAATATTATAAGTCACAACTTATTATGCAATCACAAAGTATCAAATTATCGGTCAAAGATTAACAATTTCTTAGTTCACACGTTATTTCTTTGTTACAATCTATATTTTTTATTGGTCACATATTGTTTGTTGGTCACATATTAACTAATTTAATAATCACAATCAACCAAATAATTTATAACCACTACCAACCTTTGTGACCACCATCTCACTACCACCTCTAATAACACCACCACAGTCGTCACCAAAACCAACACTACCACTAGCTCCTGACAGTTGGTCATGAACCCCCAAATAGTTGGTCACAAACACTTTCATACTACACCGCCACCACAATCGCAACCCACAACCAATACACCATCGTCGTTGCCACTGTTAACACTACCACCACCATCGCCATCGCAGTAGCCGCACCACCACTACCAAATACTACCACGACGCCGCACCATCACCACCAACACCATTTTCTACCCCACGATTACCATCACAACCACTAATTACATCAATATCGCCATCTATTCAACCATCACTACTATTTGCAAAAACACCAACCACCACAAGAAAACAAACTAAACAAATCAAATGAAAAAAAAAAATTAAAATTAAAAACAGCAACATCGTCGAGGGCGATACCACCACCGATAGCACCACCATTGCCCGAACCATCATCCCCGCCACAACCAAACACTTGGCACTAGATCACAAGTGTTGTGCGCACACGTGACCACCACTACCAAACCACC